GACTAGGGAAGACACTTTTGAGCCACCTTTGGCAAAGTAGTAAGGAACGATTGGCCGTCGGTGATCGGTCCTGTGGGAACAATGCTCCGTCCTCTCGAGGACGCGTGGTCAATGGTCTAACCGCTAAGGCATGCAAAACATAAGAGTACGCCCCCCCCCCCTGCCCCGCCCCCGGGCGAAAACCGACGCCCAGAAATGCACAATTTACTACACACCAGCTCGCAGTGGCCGTTAGGCGGCAGACATAGCCTCCAATTGGGCACACACCCTGGTTCTGCCTGGGGTTCCGAGCGCGTTGCGAACGCCCCGGGGGATACGTTTCTACTAAGGCTTCATGCCCCCGCGCCCACCCCCCTTCCGACCAAATTGACTTCGAGCCTGGGGATGGGCCAAATTTTCCACACGGAGGGCCCCTTGGTAGTGAGAGGGTATTGAATGGACAAGAAACCAACCTCTTGTTTCATCATCGTGCTCACCTCCATGAAGACGTGTAAGGCCACAGCACCTCGCGCCACCGGGGCGCCGACGAGCTGTGTCCCCGCGTTCTGTACCACAAGGAACGTGCACACCACGGGGAACAAGGGATGCCGCGGAACGGCAGAAGGAGCGCTCGTGTTTAAGAATACGCACACACAGTAGTGGAAGCGATGGTTCCACTACCGTTGGTACGGTAGTCTTTCTTTCTGAGAGCTGGCGGGCGGGTGTGTTTTTCAAGCATCCACGTATTGCCCCAAGGGATACAGTATCATTGAGGTCTTGGCTCCGTCTCCATCAACAGGGTACGTGAAAGCAACAATCTACTATTCCTCTCGTGGGCAGGGAACCCCATCTCTTAGTGCCCCAACACGAGCTCAATGGTGTCCGGTTTGGTGTCGCTAGCGCTGCACTACTGTGGAACTCGTGCTGCACAGGTTCTCTTTGGCATGGTTACCTTCGCAGACTGAACCACCCGGCATTTTCTCAGAAAACGACTGAACGGACGGTCAGTCAATCCAGGCAGCCAACCATTCACCTGTTGCCGCGACGCCTTTTTCCACAGGTCTCGCGAAGCTTCTTCCGCCTCCCAGGCCTCTATCTCCTCCACCCCGCCCCCCGGCTCAGAATCGTTCTCCACGGTGTACGAAAACACTCCCCCGGAGGGGGATGTGAAGCGGTACGTGGTAAGGCGGGCACCTTCCTTGTCCATCACCTGAATGCACAGTGGTGACGATACCATTAAGGACGGCGGGGGTGTTGAAAGCTATAGTTCCAAAGTTTTCTCGTAAGATCTCAGCAGGTTTACAGCAGTACACACCTCGTTGTTCAAGTCTGGTTCCTGCGGGCTGTGGCACGTATCAGGACGTCATGAACAACGAACTACGGAGTTTTCATCCAGGATCAGGTTGGACAAACGATTTCGATGCACACAACCGTGAGATCCCGATTTTTGTGGTGTGCGCTTGATGGCCACGCTGCTCTGCAGGGAGTACCTCGATCTTCAGTTTGGGTACTGTATAGCACATGTATGTTGTAGTCAGCGTTGGGGTTTCCGTTTCGTAGCGAAGTTAAGCAGTAAAAGGTTGCAAATTGTCTGCGTTTTTTCCCTCCTTGGTCGCTACTCGGATGTGTGGAAGTGTGTTTACACTGCACGTCACACCCGTTTGAACAACCAGGGCTCAATGTTCCACCCACAAGTTACTCCCCGCCTTTGGTTACTTTTTGGTGCCGATTGAAACGGAGAGTACTGTCTGTTGGTTGTTTTGTACGTTTCCGTCGTCTCACCTTGAGGGTGTGGTCCGTGAGAAAAGCTCCCTCGTCTCCGGATTCCGGCTCCTCCGCCGAAAAACCTGTCGTTTGTGCAGAAAGGGTATGGATACCCGGTGGCCCCTCAAACAAAGACAAGCGTCTAGATACGTATTTCAACTGATGGGATCGTACGAATCGTCGGTCTATTCAATAACAAATGTGAGTCGGCAGCTCCATTCATGATATCGGGGGCAATAGCCACAGTTGATTGAGTACATGTGCAGCTCCCTCGTCCTTCACAACAATAAAGAGCTTGAACCCAGCGGTCAATGCACTAGAAGCCCCACGACAAGGTACACGACGCATCAGCTGTACAGCAGAGCGCACCCGGTGCAATCTCTAGCGTCCCGTTCTGATGCGCCTTGATGGAGCACACCACTTGCTCGTGAGCGTGAACGCCCACCCCGTCCTCGCCCTGCCTCCACCGAGAACCCCCCCCAGGCGTACTCGCTCTGGACTTGGCTGCCTTGGTGGCCTCGCGCACATCAACATCCACCGCTGCCATTATGTGCATGACCTGCGCGGTGGCAGTGCCGGATGTACGACTGAGATTGAACCGGTTCCTGTGTGTTTTCTTTGTTTCACCACGTGTTTCAACAGAAGTAGAGCAAACCCGGCCATGGTTGTGGAACGTCACGAACGTTACACTCAGCTATCCAGCAACACATCCGAGAAGTCTTTCCCGTGTCAATTACGTTCCCTCGTGCCCCCACGATGTTCACATATTCACGCAAGACGTGCCCAACAGTAAGTGGCGAGCACGAAGTGTACCTTGTACTTGTCCTCGCGGGCTAAATGCGCTTGAATAACTGCTGCAGTGTCCGACACTCCGGCCCTGCCATTCCTTCCGCCCGCTCCGCCTCCTCCAGCGCCTCGACCCCCGCCTGCAGCCGTCTTTGGGGTCTCGAGCAAAGAGCTGGCCGCCGTTCGAGGCATGCTGGTCACCGCTTCTTCGAGGTAGCTAAACGGCCCGCCGTCCCCGGTGGTGAGTCCCCCTTCCGCGGCGCCAGCCTTGTCGGAAGGGGGAACAAAGCCGTCCTTGTCCGTGTACGTGAAGAGCATCACCTGACGTTGGGTTTCGAGTTGGCCCGAATGAAGAGACAATTTAATTATATTAGTCCGCAAGCTATGACGTTTATCCTTTCCAACAAAAACATACGTTAGCCTGGCCTTATCGTTTTTCGTTTCTCAGTCGATGGTTTACGTGGCCGTTTCTCGGTTTAGTTTGTTCGTGTTTCCTGTTCACTGCCCCACTCACTCGAACACTCTACCGCTTGAAATGTCTCCTGTTTGGTTCTATCAATGGAGGCAAGTGAGGGCACAAGAACGCTCCCATTGTATCTTCTGAAAAGACACACCTCTGAGAGCGACTCCAAGGGGTCGACCCCGTCGCGCCGGAGGTCTTCCAAGTGCCCCGCATAGTCCCTCTGGAATCACAAGCAAGATAATGGTGATGGGATGGGAGGGAGTTCCGGACCAAAACATACTGGCAGATACCGACCGTGGCCGGGTCGAGACCTGTTCGCCAGCCCCATGAAAGCTGTACTTGCTTTTGGTTATGAGCTCTGAGTCCATGCTTGCTCGAAAGCTTTTCGGAAAATCTCCAACGGGCAATTTGGAGCCGTCGACTCTCGTGCTCAAGAAGCTACGTGAGGGGGAGCAGGTGGGAATATACCCGAAATGAAAAATGCCGCAATTCGGCCTCTGCAGGGTGGCATCTGCGTCACCAGCCCTGCCTAGAGTGTGACCAGGGTTGACCCAGCGGCTGCCAGCGCCATTCGCCTATGAATCCACTCACCTGCAAAACAATCTTCCACAACATGCACGGAACGCATTTTCTGCTGGTTTGACACAAAACGACCTTGCAGTGTTGACGGGAGGAAAACGTCCTGGAGAGAGGAGTTCTGAAGTTTGACTGCATCATGAGTTGATCGACGACCTCTAGACGTGTTCGACTTATTCTCGAATGTCTCTCGCAGCGGGCAAGTAAGAGATGGCCACTGCAAGCACCACGGTTGACACGTTTGCCGTGTGTACCCCCCTCCTCTCACCTCCAGCCTGGACAGAGCGTTGTCGGGAGGACCAACCGCGCGTTGCTGCTGCGACCTCCCCCCTCTACGCTGGCCGCTCGAAAGCGTGACGACATCCTCGGGGCCGAAAACCTTTTCCTGCCACTTGACGCGAATGTCTGCCTCGTCCCCAGGAAGAAACGACCCGGGCGCGTTGTCGGCGTCATCGCCGAGGTCGCCTTTTTTTCCTGGCCGAATCTTTCCAACGGCTCCGGTGTTGGTGTTGATGGACCGCCCGAATATCTTGCCGGGGGGAGTCGGGGGGGTGCGTGATTGGACAAGATAAAGCAAAGCAAATTGATATCGGGTCGGAGGTGGCTGGAAGTCGAGAGTCCTTGTTACTTCGTCACCGATTTTCCAAGACCAAACGCGACAATACTGATATTACTGCGGTCGCTCATGGATTCGAATATGAGAGGTGTTGGCAGTGACACGCCCGCACAACAGCAGCAAACAGCGACGAGCCCAAAATGGTTCACGTCAATAGTCTCCATAGACGTGAAATGCGGATAAGCCTCGCTGACGCTCCCAATCCAGCTGGTTTTTGAGGTTACTACCCAGACCGCTGGGGCGACCGGCGTTGAACGGTATACAGCAGTAGTCCAGCCGAAACATCAAAGCAGCAGCAGAAGCAATGTACCTTGGTACCATGCTTACCTTGCGTAGCCTGATGCGGACACTGAGGGATTCCAGAGAGTCCGTAATCCGGTAGTATTGAGGCTGGTTGGACATATTGGAGCTCGACGGAAGGATGACTTTGAAGCAATACCAACTGCTGTTGTAAGAAGCAACGCCGACGAGCTGCGGTCAAGATCTTGCGAAGTTAGACGGTGCGTCGATGACAAAAAAATGGCATCGAAGATACGCTGCACTTTTGAGGCCCCTCAGTCGATGAGAGACCGGACAAACGTGAAAGTCGTGTACCCTAAGCCCTAAAGCGTTGAGGGATCTCAGGCGTGCAGATCCGGCTGAAAGAGAAAGAGAGGAGTTGCCAGAGGCCATGGTACAGAGCCATCAAACCACCAAGCCAGAGAGGACGTAGATCTACGAAAAAAGTCGAGCAGATCTCCGAAAGTCGAGCAGATCTTCGAAGAAAGGCTGCACCGTCTCTACCGACGGAAAAACTCTCATATTTGAATTTTGCGCCCCGCCCAAACAACCAAGCGAGAGCTTACCAGAGAGTGCGAGCAACGTGCCAACGACGACAAGCTTTCCGAGTGTGCGACGGGACCAGTTGTGCTCTAAACCGAAGGTGGAGACAAAATCGCTCACAGCTCTCTCCGTGCGGTGGGCTATCAGTCTTCAGCAAGCCCGGACAAAAAGGAGGTAAATCGACGCGCGAGGCCGTGGGAGCAGAGGGAGCACACGAGCACGCGAGAGAGCTATTGCCTCAGCGCTGCTTTGGGAGCAAGGTTGTCACCATGATCGGAATTGCATCTATGCGTCCCTCTGCCGCTGCGCTCAAGAAGGATGTCGGCGGAGTGGAGAGGCATAAGGTGAGATCGGCGTGTTCTTGTGTGTGCCAGCGAAAGCTGTGCTCTGTGCTGTGTTTTTTGGCGTTATGCCGGTGTGTTGTGGGCCTACAGCCGTAACGCTATAGTCTAGACCCTAGTGGTCCTACACCCCAGCAGTAGGGTATAGTGCCCACCGTAGACTCTGTGTATACGGCTGTATCTGGGGTTGCCTGTAGATTGGTAGGGTGTGTGTGCTCGACGGATGGTGTTTCGACGTAAACATATGTCCTTGCTCCGCGTATGTAGTCTACTGCTGTATGTCGTTTTTCGAATTTCAAACTTTAGGGCTCCTCGAGGACATCATGTAAACGGTTTGTTGTCGATCTCTTTCACCTATCTTTTTGGGAAGAGTAGTTTAGCATTTCAACGGTTAACGCGTGCCAGGTACAGCAGTAACTCGACTCTGGAACAAAAAAACGCAGCCTTCGCATGTGGTCATATTCTCGACATAATGTACAGCAGTGCCCGCAATATCTACTTGTACACAGCTCCCAATAATTGAGATGATGTTACATAGTTGGTCGATATCTTCGTTCTTACATCCTCCTGTCTCGCGCGAGCATGATCACATGATCAAGTGATTTGGACTCATGCACGCGCCAACGCGCTAGTTGTCACGCTCGCAAAAAACACTCATGTGTTTGGCGAACAGGGTTGTATGAGTCGAGCTGAGTGCGTACACATACCGAATATAACACAAGATAACACACCCCCTGGACCGATTTTCAAAGCTCGATTACTCCACGACGAAGAGGATTCATAAACGAAAGGATACATTTTCGAAAAGCACTAGACGAGACGGTTTCAACGCCGCCATTTTCGGCACTGTGACTGTTCCTGCATTTGAGAAATCGAGCTTCGAAGTTTGGTCGAGGGGGTGTGTTATCTTGTATCATATACGGTAGTGGATCAGCGAGCACTTCACCCCCACTTCATGAGTCACAGTTCCTAAGCGCCTATCCTGTGCTCTCTGATACCGAGAATACCAGGGGGACGTTCACCGTGACCTGCGTGTAGGACACAGCGCCATGCACTAGTCCAAGTGTCAGTGTTTGCTCGCCATTGTTCTGACACACCGCTTCACCCCAGCCCCTTGTTTGCTTCGAGACCGGTTTCTAAAAGGGTCAATAGAAATTTAGAAGTGCAGACTATGGTGTCGATGGGTGTTGGTTGTATTTGTCTATCCCGCTGCCTGTCCACCTGCCGGTCTTTCCTCTTTACCTATTTGCGTGTCTACCTGCCTGCTTGCCTATTTATGTGTCTACATGCCGACGCGCCGAGCACCTGTTGTTCTGTCTGCCTGCGCGTCTTTTCCTTTATTTTGTGTCTCCTCTGGCAAGGCTATCTCCATGTACAACGAGCCACCGTTCGAGGAGATCACGCTGGACGAGTTTGAGCTGTTCGCGCTCGACAGGTTGCAGGTCCTGCGAAAGATCGAAGACTTGAAGGTAAGTGACACGAGAACCCTTTTCGACACGTAAATCATGCCTGGCAGCAGCAGCAGCAGAAAGTAAGAGATAAGATGTCGTTTTAGCGAGGGGTTTTCGAGCAGTGGGTAGACAGAGCAAGAACACCACGGTGAGTTTCAGAGTGCATTTCCTGGTAAAACAGGCTGCACCACAAGTCCCGAGCAAGACCAGAGCTTGAACGAACTCACGCTGTACAGCAGCACGATACAACCCAACACCGTACCAGACCGTGCGTGGTCATCAGAGAACCTATCGCTCCGTCTCGGCATCGTAGGGATGCAAGGTCATTGGTCAAACGAATACGGCATGCGCTTGCATGAGTGCCCCCCCCCCCCCCCCCCCCCCCCCCCCCCCCCCCCCCCCCCCCCCCCCCCCCCCCCCCCCCC